AGTGCCTCAGGCACAAAGGCAGGCACTGCACAGGCAACGATTGTCCTGCACGTTCCCGATGAACGGAAACATCGCAGGTAATGACACGGCACGTGCTGCTGATTCCCTCTATGCTGCCCTTGCGCTTCCAGGTTTACGTCATGTCTGTTCCCTCACTATTGCTTCTTCTGAGCGCTGGGATGAGAGGTGCCATGATTTCCGGCACAAGCGTGCATCAGTGTGGGCAGAAGACACAAAGCAAGTGCCAGAGGGGTCCATTGCAGGCCGGTGATGTCAGCCTGGGGTCACTGGGCTGGGTTTTGTATGATTCCGCTGAGAGGAAGCGCCTCAGGTGCCAAAACACCAGTGATGCTCAATGCAATTGCTCAGCCCCCACTCACTGACACCAGCACGGCCCAAGCAGTGATCAGTCCCTTCCGGCTAACTCCCCACAGCTGCGGTCCCAACATGACATGGTAAGGAATATCGCTTTGGCTAGTTTGGGTCAAGTCCTGTCTGTTCCCTCCTGGCTTCCTGTGCTTCTCCTCACTGACAGAGCACAAAAGACTGAAAAGTCCTTGATCAGTCCTTGCACCCACTGCTCAGAGACCCACTTTCTGGCCAGCACCATCATTTACAGGTGGAGGGTAGCTGGGTAGGTGGCAGCAGTGCACAGATCATCCTCTCAGAAGCTCTTTTCTGGTGCCATTGGCTGCAGCCCTGATGTTCACCTCCTTCCTCCTCCCAGCCTCCCTAGGTTCTCGTTCCTTTTCGTATAGCTCCTGGCTCTGGACATGGGCCAGTCATGGCAAAGGGCTCCGCAGTCATGGCAAAGGGCTCCCCAGTCACGGCAAAGGGCTCCCCAGTCATGGCAAAGGGCTCCCCCATCCCCACAGGCACAGCACATCCCTGGGCTGCCAAAGTTTTCACGTGAGTCCTGGGAAGCAGCTCAGCCTCTGGAGGCAGCCTGGAGGCAGCATGAAAAGAATTGGCTTGGGTTTGGGGTTCTCCTGAGGGAGACCCGAGTGCTGTGACCCTGTCTGTGTCCCCTCAGGTAACGGGATGGAAGGAAAGAGAGGACAAGGCACTGACTCAGAGGAGCCTCTGGGGAAGAATCAAGGACGGCAGGGCCGGGAGCAGCTGGGGCGCTTCCTCTCAGCGGAATCATACAAAACCCAGCCCAGTGACCCCAGGCTGACATCACCGGCCTGCAATGGACCCCTCTGGCACTTGCTTTGTGTCTTCTGCCCACATTGATGCACGCTTGTCCCGGAAATCATGGCACCTCTCATCCCAGCGCTCAGAAGAAGCAATAGTGAGGGAACAGACATGACGTAAACCTGGAAGCGCAAGGGCAGCATAGAGGGAATCAGCAGCACGTGCCGTGTCATTACCTGCGATGTTTCCGTTCATCGGGAACGTGCAGGACAATCGTTGCCTGTGCAGTGCCTGCCTTTGTGCCTGAGGCACTGCGGGGGCAGTATAAAAGCCAGCCCAACGGGTCACTCTCTCCAGCTCTTCTGCCTCCAACCTCTCCTTGGGAACCAGGTGAGCTGGAGCCCCCATTCTCACCCACTCCTCCCATGGGACAGGGTGCAGCCTGCAGGGACATCTCCGCTGATACCTGCTCCTTGGTGCTGTGTTAGTGCTCCGAGGTGGTGGCGGTGGGAGAGGGCAGAGCAGAGAGGGTCTGCCATGCCGAGAGCCTGGGGATGGGCCGGGGTGGCTCTTTGGCTGCACACTGGTGCTAAGATGCTCAGTGAAGGTGTGGCAGGGCTGAGGCAAAGGGTCCCTTGTTCCCCGTGCGCAGGCTCCAGCTCCCCACGGGAGGTGCCTTGTGCTCCCTTGGGTGTCTCTGCAGGCTGCTCCTCACGGGTCCCTGTGCTCTGCTCCCTCCCTGCCCTCTCTGCCAGGTGAAGCTGCAGCCCCGAGCCATGTCCTGCCCTGAGAAGTGCCAGACGTGCGAGCCCTGCCAGCCCTGCCGGCCCTGCCAGCCCTGCGGCCCGACCCCGCTGGCCAACAGCTGCAATGAGTGCTGTGTCAGGCAGTGCCAGAGCTCCACCGTCGTCATCCAGCCCTCCCCGGTGGTGGTGACCCTGCCCGGCCCCATCCTCAGCTCCTCCCCTCAGAACACCGTTGTGGGCTCCTCCACCTCCGCCGCCGTTGGCAGCATCCTCAGCTCCGAGGGAGTGCCCATCAACTCCGGGGGCTTCGACCTCTCCTGCATCACCAACCGCTACTGCGGCTCCAGGTGCAGACCCTGCTAAAGCCGCCGCTGACAGCCCAGCCAAGGAGCCCCGCGAACCCAGCAGATGACGCCAGACTGAACGACGGAGACTGCGGCCGTGCCTCGGAGAGGGGCTGAGCGTGCCCCGCTCCTCCTCAAAGGGAGGCAGCCCTGGGCAAGGGGCCAGCCCGGGCTCTCTGCAAACACGGCCGCTGCCTCTCATTCCCTTCCTCCACTCTCTGCTTTCCCTCCTTTGCCTTCCTTGCTTTCTGCCCCCGGCAGCTTTGATGCCCACCAAAGGCAGCTTAGGGGGGACCTGCCCACCCCTCTGCGCCCGGGGGAAACTCACTCCCGGCTGCCCATTGAGGTCCTTTCACCGTGACCTCCTCTCGAGACATCTTGTTTCCCTCTTCGGACTCATTAAACTCTGTTGCATCGCAGCCTCTGGCTCTGTGTGGTCCTTTGCTCTCTGGACGCTCCCTAAAGCTGTGCAGGGAGAAAGGAGATCTGCCTCGAGGAAACAAATGTGTTTGCAAGCGGCCCCTTGCTCGTTGCTCTGGGACAGGAGGGCGGGACACGCTGCCCGTGGCCTCCTTCAGGCGCTGTCCCTCAGAGCTGAGATCCAGCTCTCTGGCTCCCCCGCAGCCCCTCACTGCGAGCCCTTCCCTCGCTGCATCTCTGCCCGGAGGCGTTCCCCTTGTCCTCCCAGCCAGGCAACGCTGAGAGGGAACGGGCCGGAGAGAGCGGCACCGAAGGACGGGTGGGTGGGGAAAGAAAGGCAGCTGGAGGAGGCCTGGGATGCCCGAGGGAGCGAGCGCTTCTCCTCTGTCACCGGGTCTGAGGGGAGAGCTTTGGCCGCAGTCAGGAAGAGCAGCAGGAAGCAAGGCACCAGCACGGTGCATCCCCTTCACAGCCCCCTGCCCGCCAGGCTCCTGCCGTTGAAGTCCCCCACGTGAGGCTGCGTCAGGAGCGATGCTGGGCTCTGCTCTGCCCACGGCTGCGACCCCGCACCTGGTGCCCAGGTACACGAGTGCAGAGAGCACCTGAGGTCATTGCCCACGGTGCTCTGAGGGGAACAGCAGCAGGAGAGGGAGAGAGAGCTGCTGGTGGCACAGGGAGAAAGCAGGAGGAGCCCATGGAGATGACAAACCCTGCTGGCACTTACTTCTCCTTGCAGGAAGTGGGGCAGGACTCAGCGGAGCGTGGCTGGCTTCCAGAGCCACCCTGCTGCTTCCTGCTTGTCCTTCCGCAGGAGGACAGGGGGAGAAAGTCAGGTGAAAAGGTGAGGGGCTGAGATACAGGCAGAGGGATCATTGCCAACTGCCGGCAGGGCCGCGACAGACTTGACTTGGGGAAGGTTCGTTTCATCAGGCGACGAGGAGAAACGGATCCGCGTGGTGAGAAACGGAAAAAGCCCCTTAAATCGCCTTGGCCCCATCCCTCCTCTTTTGCACAGACTCAACTTCCCTCCTCCGTTCATGGCTCCACCTTTCAGCACACAGCGGGACGAGGACGGGGCGGTTGTGGCACAAGGTTCCATCCGTCTAAGGAGGGACTTTGCCTGATGTGCTCACGGCAAAGCACCGGGTTTGGTCGGGTCACCCTCAGTCACAATTCCCGGCCTTCCCAGACACAGCCGGGAGCTCCTCGGCCTGCTCTTGATGGGGGATAGGGAAGTCCTGGTGCTCGATCCCCACACGAGTTGGCCTCAACGCTCTGTGACTGCCCCTGGAGGCCCAGGGAGCCTGTCCTGCACCTCGCAGCACAGCAGCACCTGGAGCCCTGTCCCTCCGGTTCGATCCCTGTTTGGTGCAAGGGCTCAGAGCCCACCTCCCTCAGCAGCAGGCAGATGAGCTGCAGAGTGCAGCTGGCAACGGGCTGGACATGAGGAGCCTGCGTCCCGTCCCCGTCACCAGCAACCCTGCACCAGATGGGCATCGATTAAGGGTCCACGGTCTGCAGAGGTGGGCAGGCTTTCGTGGTCCTTCTCCTGCTCCCGAGGCAAGAACTGGAGGCTGCAGGAGGCAGAGGCTGCGTTTTGGTCCCCTGGGCACCCCTGTGCCGTGTCCTGTCCCGTGGGGCTCCTTGTGCACGTGGACAGAAGCACGAGAGCGGTGCCCGTTTCCCACAGCGTGGCCACAAGCAAGCCCAGAGGAATGAGCCAGGAGCACATCCCCTGCCTGCACGGGATGCACCAGCCCTTGATGGGAGGCTTCTGCTGCGCTCACGTGGTTCTGCCCCGGAAACCCTTGGGCTTCTCATCCCGGCACTGACAGAAGCCTTCCTATGGCAAAGCACATGAGCCGGGAAATGAAAAGGCAGCAGTGCCGGAAACCGGGACACGGCCCCTGCCATTACCTGGGAGGGTTTGCATTTGCCATGGGCTTGCCAGGAAATTCCTGCTGCCACAGAGGTGCCTGTGGGCCTGAGGCACTGCAGGACGACTATAAAAGGCAGCCCAGGTCTGTGCTCCTCATCCACTTCTCTGGCCTCCTTCTCCTGGCAATCAGGTGAGTGCGAAGCCTCTTGTGCTGCTGCTTCCAGAGCAGGTCGTTCCTCCCCGGGGCTCTCAGCTGAAGGGGGCTGTGCTAGCGCAGGGCTGGGAGCTGCTTCTCGGGGGGCAGAGGGAAGGGGAGAGAAGGGCTTGTGCAGAGAGAGGCTGGGACTGAGCTGAGGCGGCTGCTGGGCTTGGAGGTGGTCAGCGTGTGCTGGGCCAGGAGGTGCCTTGGCTTGCCCAGGCTTGGGTGCAGAGCTGCTGCTGCCATGTCCCATCCTCTGCTTGCCCCTGCCCTGTGTCCAGGTGAAGCTCCAGCATCCAGACATGTCCTGCTGCAACCCGTGCGTGCCCTGCCAGCCCTGCGGCCCGACCCCGCTGGCCAACAGCTGCAATGAGTGCTGTGTCAGGCAGTGCCAGAGCTCCACCGTCGTCATCGAGCCTTCCCCTGTGGTGGTGACCCTGCCCGGCCCCATCCTCAGCTCCTTCCCTCAGAACACCGTTGTGGGCTCCTCCACCTCCGCCGCCGTTGGCAGCATCCTCAGCTGTGAGGGAGTGCCCATCAACTCCGGGGGCTTCGACCTCTCCTGCATCACCAACCGCTACTGCTGCAGACCCTGCTAAAGCTGCTGCCAGCATCCTCGGGCAAGGACCTCCCCGACCTCACACCATGGATCTGCACAGGAGATAGAGCTTCGCGGCGCTGTTTCCTTCTCCCACTGTCCTCTCCATTCCTTTCCTGTCTCCACCTCCCGCACCAGCCCCGTGGGGACCTCTTGGCCTCCCTCCCTCCTCCCTCCCAGTGAGGGACAGGCAGACGGACACCCTGCAGGAGCTGCACCGCCTCTTGGTGGCTGCTCCTGGTGCTCCCTGGGAGCCACCTCCTTTTCTTCTTTACCCTCATTAAAGTTGTGCTGCATCCAAGCCTGGGCCTCCGAGTCCTCCTTCCTTCCATGGGAACTCTTCCACTCTGCTCAGGGGAAAAGGTGGCTTCCTGGAGACGATTTATGTTGGTTGCAAAAATGACTTTTCCTCATTCCCAGAGGAAGAGAGGGCAGGACTGCCTGCACTGGGATACCTCTTGTGCTGTGTGCCTTGGAGCTGAGGAAGACATCCCTGACTCCTCCACAGGGAATGGCCATCCGTTCTTGAAGCTTTGCTGTATCTCTTCCCAGATGGGCCTGGAGCGCTGGCCCTGAAGCACGTTCAAGAAGAGGATGGTTCCAAAGGGTGGCACTAATATCTGGGGACAGCTTCATTTCTGCCTTCTCCTCCATTCCATCACCTCGTCTAGGGTCCATGGCTAGCACACAGAGGCACAGGTAGATGGGACCTCACACAGTCCTTCAGAGCTAGACATGCAGGGCTGAGGTAGCTCATGGGTTAGTACCAGTCCCAGTCCCAAAGTGGAGTCCCCACTGCCTGTGAATACACCAGATCATGGTTGTGTATCTGAGGCTGTTTGCGAAGAAACCAAACAAGAAACCACTTCTTTTTTTAAGGCAAAAGCTAAAAGCAGCAGGTCAGATGGGTTCTTTGGACCAGAAGCAGTCAGGAGCTATCAGAGATGACAAGAAGAGTTCCCAGAGGATGTCAGCATCACACAGAGAGACAGGGAGGAAAGGACAGAAACAGACGGATGAAGAGCAGGCTGAGGGAAGATGGGATGAGAGCAGATGCAGGGAAGGACAGGAGGACAGTCCAGGGCAAAGAGAAGAAGCAGGAGGTCCAAGCAGACTCGAGGGAGCTGTGGGGCCACCCCATGCCCGGCTTGATAGGCACAGCTCAAGCCCCGGTACAGTGCTGAAACCTGCTGGTTTTCACTGGGCACCCGCCTGCTCCAATGCAACGCTGCAGGTGACAGCCACTCCTTACCCCAACCCTTCCGCACACCCTGGCACCCAGGGACTCCCTGCCCCAGGGCATGGCTCCCTCTTACCTCACTCTCCTCTGACACCAGGGTTCCACAGAGCCAACACGAAGCCAAGGGGGTTCATTAGTGCAGCTCATGAAACAGCTCACGAAAGGGGGAACAATGGCAGCGGGAGGCTGTAGAACAACACCACACATCAGTTCCTGATGGGAAGAGGGGGCTATATTCCCTCATCCCTGCCGTTAGAGAGGGCATCAATGCCAGGGCAAAGCACCAAGCCTTTGGTCCTATCCTTAGCCAAATAAAGAGAAGCAGGGCAGCAGCAAAGGATATTTGTTTTAGTCCCATAGGCTCTCCTTGAGCTTCCCAAATCCTTACGTCCATCCCATTTTCCCCTTCTTATCGGTTGCAAAGTCCACGTGGCCTTTCCCCAAAGCTCTGCCCGTATTTTCTTCAGGGCTCATCAATTTGCTATGGGAGACTTTTCGGCTTGGTTATCATTATCCCTTGTATATGGGTTTGGTTACTGCATCCCCCTTTATTATCCCACACTATGGACCACGCTGCCCGACTCCATCCAACCTATCCTCATACATGGGAGGATGGCTGGTCAAGGACTGCAGGGCTGGAAGGAGCTTGGCTTTCCCTGCCAACTGGGCTGAAAACAACCCCATAGGGGTGCCCCACAACAATGCCTCCAGCCTGCAAGGGAGCCCTGCAGCACTTTGGACCCACGTTATGCCAGCGATGACATAAGCCTGGAATTCTCATCAGCCCTCGAAGCAAATATCCAGGGGGGAGCGATCATGGTCTAAACATGGGAATTCAAAGATAATAGGGCAGGAATCTCAAACACAGGCCATGCCATTAGCTGGCGGGTTTTGGATGAGCCTTCCAGGACATCATTGCTTCCACAAAGGGTTTCTCTAGGCCTGGAGCAGTGCAGGACCGGGACCGTTCTTAACTCATCTACTTGGCTCCTTGTGGAACAGGAGAGCTGGAAGCTGTGGCCTCTTCCTCCAGGATGTGGAGGATGAATGAACATCCCAGCTCAGTGCTGTGCTGAGGCGTGGGGCTGCCTGTAATAGAAGTGGGGATGGAGAAAAGGTCTGGTATGAAGGGATGCTGAGGATTCCATGAAGCGGGTTCTGAGCTCCGGACTAGACAGAAGCCTTCTTGGGCCTGGATGCTCTTGGCAGGGTCCTTGAGATCCGAAGGCAAGGAATTACATGCGCTTTGCTGTATAGCCCCTGCCTCCTCACACAGTGGGTACCTTGCATTGCGGATTGAGAGGCTGCTCCTCATCCAACCCCATGCCCTGCTTTCCTCTCCCAAGGGACACATCCTGCTGTGCCCATTGCAGAGAGCCCTGCTGCCCACCAGCTCCAATGAGCCCTGTGTCAGGCAGTGCCAGCGCTGGATGGTTGTCATTGAGCCTTCCCCTGTGCTGATGCCCAGCCCCATCCTCAGCTCCTTCCCAGAGAAATCCATTCTGGACTCTTTGTGCATTGGGAGGCCACAGCAGTTCACCAAGGAGCCTTTTGCCTTGCTGGGGATGGCTTGTGAGGGTTCTGTGCTGCCTGAGCACTGCCAATCCAGCTCTGGAGTGCCTGTAGGTTCCGAGCTGCCTACCTAGGTTCCTACCTGCCTATGTAGGTGCATGGCTCCCCTTGAGCCTCGCAGCTCACAAGCAGTCTCCCTGGGGCAGATGTATGGGATCCCAGGCAGCCCTCGGAGAGTTTAGATCCACCTTTTGGGATGAGGTTTGGAGAAGGCAAAGGATGGGAGATGTGTGGTGAGCAATGGGGCTGGAAGACAAGACTCTCCCCATCCCTTTCCCAAAGGCTGAGGAGGGCATTTGTGTGCGAGAAAGGAGCAAGTTGATGGTTGGTGGCCCTATAGGAGCCAGGGACATCTTCCTCAGTGCCTTGAACAGAGCCCAGCACCCGTGTCTCACCCTTCCCTCCCTCCGGGAACGCTGATGCCTCTCCTTTGTGCCTGCAAGATCTCCCCAGAGCGATGCTGCTCTCTCTGGCAGCTGGGGATTGCATCCAGAGACAGAAGGACCACACAGAAGCCAAGGCTGGGATGCAGCAGAACTTTAATGAGTTGAAAGAGGGAAAGGAGCTCCCCTGAGCGGGGCCATGGTGCAGGGAACACCAGGGGACCTTGGAGTCTGTGTGCCTTGGCCAGGCTGGAGTGTGCACCAGGTGTCTGCCCTCCTGAGAGGAAGAGGGGCAGCAGGTCCCTCCTCTGATGGGGCTTAGCAGGTCATTAGAGCCCAGGGAGCAGAAGACAACAGAGGAAAAGGAGAGAGGAAGAAGAGGGAGAGAACAGGCAAGTTACAAAAGGCCACATTTCCAGACTGCCCAGGCATGCCTCTTTCTGCCTTCGTTTGCAGGTGGAGCCGTGGATGCTCGGTGCCTCTGAGAGCAATGGCCGGGAGGTCCGTGCTCAGTCCATTACCATCTCCTGGGTTCCTGGTGTCCTTCAGTGGGGCATCTGCAGCAGCTTTAGCAGGGTCTGCAGCAGTAGCGGTTGGTGATGCAGGAGAGGTCGAAGCCCCCGGAGTTGATGGGCACTCCCTCACAGCTGAGGATGCTGCCAACGGCGGCAGAGGTGGAGGAGCCCACAACGGTGTTCTGAGGGAAGGAGCTGAGGATGGGGCCGGGCAGGGTCACCACCACAGGGGAAGGCTCGATGACGACGGTGGAGCTCTGGCACTGCCTGACACAGCACTCATTGCAGCTGTTGGCCAGCGGGGTCGGGCCGCAGGGCTGGCAGGGCACGCACGGGTTGCAGCAGGACATGTCTGGATGCTGGAGCTTCACCTGGACACAGGGCAGGGGCAAGCAGAGGATGGGACACGGCAGCAGCAGCTCTGCACCCAAGCCTGGGCAAGCCAAGGCACCTCCCGGCCCAGCACACGCTGACCACCTCCAAGCCCAGCAGCCGCCTCAGCTCAGTCCCAGCCTCTCTCTGCACAAGCCCTTCTCTCCCCTTCCCTCTGCCCCCCTCCGAGAAGCATCTCCCAGCCCTGCGCTAGCACAGCCCCCATCAGCTGAGAGCCCCGGGGAGGAACGACCTGCTCTGGAAGCAGCAGGAGCAGCCTTTCCATCACCAAGAACCAGCCCCAGGGGAGTTCTTTCCAAAGCAAGAGCCCAAGAGTCCCCTCAGCCCAAACCCAGCCCTCTCCACACCAAACCTTCTCCCCACTTCCATTCCCAGGACAGGCAGCCCCAACCCCGGTGCAGCTCAGAGCTTCCAACTCACTTGCTGCAGAAGGAGAAGAAGATGAGTGGAGCGGATGAGAGAGTCAAGAGCTGCAATGGTTTTTATACTGGTCCTGCACTGCCTCGGGTCCAGAGGAAGCCGCTGTGGAAGCAGTAATTTTCTGAGAAGCCCATCTAAAATGCAAAACATCCCAGGTAATGATAGAGGCTCTGGCTCCGTTTCCTGCATGCCTGCCTTTTCATTTCCTTGTTTGGCCGTACCCACCTCCCCTTGAAGGCTCCTTTTCAGTCCTGGAATGGAGCCCCAGGGATTTCAGGGGCAGGAGCGCATCGGTGCCAGCATCGGTGAGGGCTGGATGGAGGGACAGGACGCACTGCTCCACTCTGCCTTCGAGGATGCTGGCTGGGAGGTGCCAGTGGAGCTGTTGCTGGGTCCCCCTGGCAGTGTGGGCACCCCATGGTGCTCCTGCCTCGCTCCCCCTCCTCTCTGTGGGCAGAATGTGATGCTCCTCTCTGACACCCAGCATCTCCTTGCCCCTGCAGCCAGGCAGGGGTTCTCTGTGCCTGGGGAGGTGGGAGAGGAGGGAAGCCTCCGTCTGCTCCCTGCAAGAACCTGAACGCACCCATGAGCTCTGT